AACAATCAGAACTCCATTTTGCGCGAATTTTGGAACGTCAACTCGAAATGCAAAAATTTGTCACCACGAGGAATCGAACTAGGGACCCCCTTTTCTGGTATTCAGAGGGCCGTTCAGGAAAAATTAAACATGGTTCTGTGGTTCCCGCATCTGCCCCTATATCATGCAAAAGACCGTTTTCAAAAAGCTTCGTCACGCCCTGAAAGACCTTCCTGGTTAGATTGGAACTCATTCAAACAGCTCAACTTCCGCTTTTAAGACCTCGAAAATACCATGTAGTTGACTGTGAGATGTACCAGACCATCATTACTCTTAACAAGTTAACAAACGTTACTTGCGACGTTTTGTGGGATTCTTCAAGGCTTTCAAGATTAACACGTTGAAGACATTGCACATTTTGGCTTTTTAGTCGCGTGGGACCGGCGCGATTTTGCACATGGCGTGACATCATCGCACAATTGTGAATTTTGAGCGTTCCCACTAATGTTCAATGTATTCAACTTATGAAATTTGCAGTAATGGAAATTCGCCCGAAATAAATTAGCGAGAGGGCAGATTTTACTCAATTTCGCCTTAGTGTATGAACATTTTTTCGGACGTTTTGTTTCAGTAAAAACACATATCTTGCCATACGAATAGGTTTGTATTCACTTCTATTATTCTTTTTTATCTACATGTTTACGTTAATGAAAAGAAAATGAGGAATGAACTGAACAGATATTTTCGTAAGGTCCGGAAAACCTCTGCCAAACTGAGGAATATGTATTGGGTTGTCCGGAAAGTTTCCGCCGTTTTTATAGCTCACTTTTGAATGCTTAATTTCTAGGTTACTTTTGAGAAATTGCCAATACTTTATATATCATCAAAAAGCGCTTTCCTCGCTCTATCTATGTATACTATTTCTACCATTTCTCGTAGGCAAAGATATGAGGATTGTAACAATTTTTATTTCGAGCGAACGCGCTTCCGTTTGAACCGAGATATGCGCTTTGAATTTGAGAGTCAAAATCGGCGGGAACTTTCCGGACAACCCAATATCTGGCCATTCTGTGTGCCACGTGGTTCTGGTTATGTTGATGTATCGCCTATAAATGAACACAAAAAAACTTGGGAAGAAATCGGGCATGTGCGCAAAAAATAAATGTAACGGTGTGGCATACATAGTTGCCACAATGTCCTGACGTGGCGCGAAATGGCGACATTCATGGTTGGCTGTCATCAAGGTGTTAACTTTAATAGGCTTACGTTTGCGGGCGTCTTCACCTTCGTCAGAGCCTACAATGATCGAAAGCAAATGTAACTTGACTGCCCAAAAGCCACAACCTGGAACTCAAAACATTTCCACCAAATTAGTGCTTTCAACGGTAATGACCTATTGAGGCATAGGCACAGTTGAAGGTTTACCAATCTGGTGAGAGAGCCTTGATATTTTTGTGAGGTGTCTGGGCGGACAAGTTACATTAGCTTTTGACAATTTCAGACTCTAACGAAGGTGAATACACTGAAACGTCAGCCTAATAACGTATTTAGCCTTGAAAGGCTTGAATCATCCCTACTGCCTTCACCATGCCAAGATTGCAAGAAGATCGAACTTATATCATTTTGCAGAGTTCAGTGTGCAATTCGGTGTTTTAAGGCATGCCCCAGGATCACATTGGTGTGGCTCTTGTACACGAATGCGAATGTATTGGTGCGAAATGGGCCGGCAGTGAAGAAAAAAGGAAAAGAATCCTTCCTAATCGGCTGTGCTAAGGGAATGAGAGACTAAGCGCGGAGAGGAGAGTATGAGGCGAGAGAGCGCTACAGATGAGCGCCAGACAACAGCCTGATAAAAGAAAAAATCTGCAGCTTCAGCAGCTTACTTTGCAAGGCCCTAGCGCTCTTGTCGGGTGATTTCCGTGCACGGGAATGCCACATTTGTGATTGTCCTCTAGGGATCTATCCTACAGACCAAAGAGAATCGTTCAGACGACTCCTGCCTGGGCTGTACCTTCAAGCGGTGCAGTCAGTGATCGTGCTATGCTAGAAAAGTGAATAGGATAAGATTTGGAACAACTTTTTAGGATCTCGCGTGGAACATCGTGACTCACTGGTTTCCGCTGTGACGGCGTTTCCGCGAATGGTGCATTTCGACATCGCCGTCGTCCCTTTGGTCACGCCACGCAGTATCAATGTCAATTTTTGGACGTACAACGACGCGTTGTGACATGGGTAAGCCAAAGAGCTCTCTAGCTCACTTGAAAGCTGTTTCCTATGGAGAAACTACCCTTACTGAATACATGAATTCGAGAACACAATAAGCAGTTAACAAGTTCTACCATGGTTGCATTACATGTAATAATAGCCGTCAGTGCTACACTCTCTGAGCATAACCAGCTTCGCCCAGTTGCCCACCGGGTAACAAGGAAACCTCAAAAGACTGTGGTGAACCTGTAAAATATTGCTTTAATTCACGTCGACGAGCTTGAAATGCACAGCCGTAAGCTAATGCGGGCAATCACGGGCCGTCAACTCCACGTTTGTCTAATGTAGGAGCAGCGATTATGCACAATGGATGGTTTCCTAGTTTCTTTATTGGCTTGTCAGCTTTCTGATGTCGAGGGACAACTGTTTCTTAACCGCTTACTCAAGTGGTACACAATTTCTAGAGCCCACTGATCTGCATAGTAAAATGAGCCCTGGCGTGGTTAGCATTGCACATGTTTCAGACTCACCGCTCGGTTGTGCTCTATGTTCCCAATGAACATTGCAACTACGGTATTGAAATGACCGTAGTTGATTCTCGCAATCGACGTAGTACCACTACAAAAGCCCAAGTGATTCGATTTGAAGAGAAGTATCAGATGTTGTTGTCTGCTGATGGATGGAACACTGGCGTGGTGAGGACCACGGAACACTTTTCAAATAAGGTGATTCCATCTAAGGCTACCGTTTTAGATTGTTCTGTCATTGATAGTTCTGGCATCATTCGTTACCGTATCTGGTGGGCTGGTAGTCTGCCGGATCAGGGATCGCCGTGAGTGGAACACGATCAAGCGAAGTATCAGCCCTCCGTCGCCTGCTCTTACAATCACACGAACCACCTCGACCTCTGTGGTTGGCGTTGCGAATAAATACGGTAAGTGGATGAGCTGTATATTTTGGCTGATTATTTCATCAGGACTTGTTCCCTATTGAAGCACAGGTTACGGCCCGTTGAGAACGCCCTTCTGTTATGGGGGTTTGATACATGTTTCGTGATGAAAGCAGGGTGACCAACGTGTTGAAACAAAAACTTCCGCTCACTGCTGTGGCCATCCCTTTCATTAGTTGAGGTCACACTCATGACCCCATCATTCGACACAAGTCATATGAATCTCCAACCTAGTATAACACTCTTTTAAAGAAAGTCTCTCATGCGGTACGATGAGGGGACGGAAATGGGAAGGGCTGGTGGAGCGGGGGAGCGGTGGGGGGTCGGGGAGTATGGTCAAAACAGTCATTTTGACAAAACGAAAATATCAAGATCATTCCTGTCGAAGGTTATCCCAAAATCTGTAAATTCTCTCACAAGATTTCCTGAAATCACCAATGCTCCTCCCAACTCTTCGGAGAATCCGCTACCATTTGCATTAAATGCGACCCCTTATTCGAACATAATACGACCCTGCCCCCACGGTCTAGGAAGTTTCATCCATGGTCGCGCTCCTGTGCTCAAGTTTTGGAACGGAAGAGCTCACATAGAAGCATGCAGCCTGCTTCATTCGCTGTTCCGGGTTAGTTGTGATGGAGAGGATTTTAAAATATATGACGACCTCCTTCAGAAGGTTTCTTTCATGAGACCCCTCCACCTTTTACTCAAGTGGTCGGTTGCGTCCGTAATATCGCTGAACCTGCTATGACTTTACACAGTCCTAGATCCGCCCCCCCCCCCCCAAATTTCTTCAAAAGTGCCGTCGAAGAGGATGGGGCACGAGAGTACATGATATGTAGGGCATACCTCTTCTCCCACCCCTCCCCCCCCCTTCAAAAGCTTCTTATACGAAATCAGTAGAAAATCACACGTAGGAACCTTCTTTCTTCTCCCCTCTCCCTTGATGGGGCCACTCAAACGGATGGTTGACCCTGTTTGCCATTACTCCAATGCAATGTAGCATTCGCGTTTAGAGGCACGTACGGAAATTGATCAATCAGTTGTGTCCATTCACTTCCTGTTCTTTCACCCAATACTTCCATTTACTTTGCAGTACTGAAAGAACGATGCCCGATGCGAACACTGAACATGGTTCGACTTTCGTTCAGCGACGACAGTGAGACACCGGTGAATTCAACTCCCATTGTCAAAACAGTGAGCAATAAATTTCGAAAAAAAGGTTCTTGTGAGTGTAGGTGAGATTGTTGTTTGCAGAACTCTACAACGGAGACGTCAGATGGCGATGACTGCTTCAAAGCACTTCCTATTACTCCAACGACAGACGATACCGAGTACGATACGATTGGTACACCGCGGCTCACACATAATGTAATTTTTATCTGATTACTACTTTTTCGAAGACTTTTTAACAACCATACTTTGTCTAGAACTGTTTATGGGGTTCATTACTGAATTAAAGGCGAGGCCATATCTCACAAGGGCTCCAAGAGCCAGTCTTGGCATTTTCTAGATTTGAAAGATACCCACAGTCACCCAAATGTTCTGATGCATTCTGTTCTTTGAAATGCTTGTAACCAGTTGACTTGCTCAAGAGGACCCCTGAACTTGGAACAGCTTGGTGATGCTTTGACCTCCTCACTGTATTTCAAACTTTGGCCAACTCTGAATCAAATCGGTCCTTCTTCAGCGGTTTTCAGTTGGACGTAACTGGGGGGAATTCTAAACGTTTTCTTTCAGCCATGTCAAGCAGGAACGTGCTCCGGGGGGATGCTTGGCCGCCTCCATAATCACCTCGTTGTCCAGCACCAAGTCGAATACGTTGGCGTACGTAGTTCTACAAATTTCTTAGACTGATGAACTCATACAAAAGTGAAAAAGCAAAGTTTCTACAGAGTGCCGCACGATCGCTTGATTGTCACTCGACGGGTCAGAAGAAGTCCGTTTTCATTATGGACTACAAAACACGTGGTCTTACCAGCTACCGAACAGACATTCGCCATCAAATACTCTCAACGTAAGTACATAGCTCATACCTCAGTTATACAAGTTCGTTTACCACTAGCTTAGTGAATGCCATTTTCTTGTTTCAGAAGGCATAGGGCTACTTCGGCGGGAGTTCAAAATTTTGAATCATATCTCAGTGAATCACCAAAATCTTGTGAAATGGCTGGGTGTTGGCGTTTGCAGTGGCCAGGTAAGCGTTTGCTGATGCTTGAAACATTTCGTTACTTCATTATTTCTATAGGAGTGTGTTAGCTCATGTTTTATTTGTAGCGCTGCTAAAGAAAACTTAAGAAACAAACGAGAGTGTCGTCAAATTGTCACAGTACTCCTCTACTAATTATAGCTCAACATTTCATCTTTACAAGACGTTTAATAAAAAAGCAGGGAATACAGAAATTCCTTTGATTAATGAATGTAACTCCAGCTCGACCCTCGGCCTATCTGCATTCATTCGTAAATAAAGGATAAAGCATTTGCCGTTGATCAATCCCTTTTTGGGATGCGGCACGCATTCTACTTCCATTTGTACATTCGTAGTGGCGTTTGAATGCGATGTGGCCTATACAATGACTTGCGGGGGCCAGCCGATGTACAAGTCAGTGTTTTTATCCTCCCAGACAAGTCTGGTACCAATTAACCGACCCCGGAGGGATGGAAGGCTTGGTTGGCCCGGGCGACTCACGACCCAGGATTTGATCCCCGGACCGCTCGCGTGGTAAGCGCGCCACTTGTCACTACACCACTTCCGCCCCGCATTCATTCATAGTAACACAAATTTGTTCTTGCACAGTTTTTCTTAGCAATAGTCTTTGGTTTCACTAATGTACTAGCTGATTGACTTACATATTCATTTGCTGCCAGTTATTCGGAGACGTATGAACGAAATAGTAGGTTTTCATATGATAACGTGAATTTCAAGCACTCCCTAAAGGAAGGAAGGAAGATTGCACGACAAAGAAGGAGAAACTTACCTAGTGCAGAGAAAGGCAGACCCCTAAGGGTGCGGAGGGAGAGCATTAGCGTTTAAAGGCAAGAATCAGGATTACATTGATGGGTTGATTCCACTCAAATGTGAAAGTAGGGATGGGAGGTGGACCGCCAATGGAGAAAAAAGGAAAGAAAATCCTGAAATACACAGGAAATACGAGCATTTTGCTCTATGCTGTGGAGAAGTTCAAAAGAGGCAGGGAGATGAGAGATAATGTGAGCGCGGAGAGTGGTAGAGAAGTCCGAGAAGAGAGAGCATAGCATCAACGCAGCGACGCAGACAAGAATCGGTGGGCGGACCATGTTAGTTTGGTGGAGTCTGTTAGAAGTTCATGGCGCCTAGGGTCCTAGTGACGGGTTTCGATGTAGAAAGGTGGCGCTAACTTTGCCAGCACTTCTAGCCATGGTAAGGGCTTCTTAGGTGGGTCTGAGCCCGAACTTTGCCTTTAAGAGGGCAGCACCGATGAGATTCGCATCAATGCATGGGCAACGAGCAAGTAAAAGGGTCCCATTTCTTTGATTATTGGTCATTTTTCTCGTTTTTTTTTGTTCTTTCGGGCATCACTAACCATCTCTAACTCAATAGGCTGCCTCATCGTAAAATCCGCCTTTAATCTAGGCAGGGCTATCCATATTCTGTGAGCCTCATGCTCTTGAAATCATAGTCACGGTCGCCAATTGAAGCCAAACGTAAAAGGTTATCATAATCAGCTTCCTAAGAAGAAAAGCAAGGGAACATATTTGTTCCTGCACAATTTTCTTGGCATTAGTCTTCGATATTACTAATGTACTAGCCGATTGACTCATATATTCATTAGCCGCCAGTTATCCTCAGTAATATTTTCTGCAAGATGTTCGGAGATTTCTGACAATGCATGGGAGGAAAACATTCTACATGAAGAACGATTCGCTGGAAGGAGTTATGAAGGTCTTTCCCACGCTATCGCACCATCGAATGATAGCGGGTATAACAATGGAGTATGGTATCAGGGCCTTACGAGTGTGGTCAACTAGTTTGAGAGCGCCATGCCAGCCCCTGAACGGTGGCCAGGGATGTCGCACGCGCATTAGACACTCATACGATTGATTCCGTTGGGGCTCTATTTACTTGTCTTCGTATCGCGCACTCACGCCTCTGAAGGCTTGGAATCGTTAACCCTTATTGCGCCTTATTTGGACGTTTCGAGCAACTATATACGCAAGATGTAACAGCTATTAATTTTACACCGTTATGCATTTGCCGCTAAGACAATAGTTCGCGGCTTCTCTGGCATGCTCAGTGGCATCACATGTCAGATGACTATCGGCAGGTCCGTGACCGGTGAGGGAGGCCGTTGGCGGGCAGGACGGGGGGCAGAGGCTGGGACGAGCTAGCCCATGTGGTGAGGAGTATAGGGCGGACATATGTAAGCGGCTGGTTTAATTGGAGCGCGAAATCATGACAGCTACGCGCTGGCGACATCGTCCACTGAACCCACCTTTCTTGCTGGGGGGGGTGGCTGGTCGTTGCTTGGCTGGGGGGTAAATCAATGGTCCATGACGGACCAGTGCGCAAACAATTTCTTGTCCCAGCAAAAGTGAATTCGTTTATTGCGGGGAAGCCTTCACAAGTATCCCTAGCATCAGGGTTCAGGCAGAGCTGAGACATAATGCCGAAGTTCGAAATAATGGGGTAATCGGTGAATCATATCATACTGTCATTGAAGCTTTGCAGTGCGCGTGAGCAAAAAATCTGACTGAAGTCGAGTCAAGGCACAGTGGGATGTAACGCTGGGGGTTTGTCTCAAATATGTGATATATGTATGATGTATAATATAAAGGGATTCTCCTTCCCGGAGAATTCTGGCACGTTGCCCCAATATTAATGTGTCAGTTGTGGCACTAAAGACAACAAGCAAAGTTTTACGCACGAAGATTCGCTTCCGAAGAGAAACAAACTCTCTAAAAACCGCACTCTATAGACAGTCGAAGAGCCAAAGGCGGGGCATGGAAAGAAGTGCGCCTTGGGGCGGCTACGTATCAGGCGACGCAATTGAAAGAATCGGGCGGAAGCGTTCGATTTTCGGAGGATAGAGACAAAACAATCGATAGAGTATGATGCAGTAGAATTGACTCAGTGAAATAGGTCAAAGGTTCAAAAAGAGTTTTCATTGACAGCACTTCGTGAACCAACTGGAAGCACTTGTGAAAGATGTCCGGCGGGAGTTCAAACGCGTAGCAGTCCTTCCGGTTTTTCGAATTGTTTACCTAATCGAATGCGATGCTTTTTTGTTCTTTTCGTTCTTATCGTAAACGATGTGTCTCACGCCAGTGATTTATGGGTGAGAGAGAATCATGGTTTTTTTTGCGGATTGTACCTTTAGTAAGTTACCTTAGGCCTGCTAACCTATCTGATGTCATATTTATTGTGTGAGTGAGAAAAAAATAATCAGTCATGATTAATGGAAAATAGAGAAAATTCAGAAAATTCCATCTTGGTCCCATTCCCCTTGATTAGACTTGCTCGACTTTATTGAAGAGCTGCTCTGTTGCTGCGTGATCTGCTTCATAGTGGTCCCAAACTTTTTATCTTCTGAATTTTTGAACTAATGAGCATGCTTCATTTCAGGTACTGTCACTATTGTTCGAGCCGTGCAGTGGTGGAGCGCTAGCAATTTTCCTCGATGATGCTAGAAAAGCTCTTTCTCATGGGTAAATTTTCATAGCCTATTTTTTTGTGAAGGCTTTTTGTTAACACTTGCTTAAAGTGACAACTTCTAAATATTCAATAATTTACTCTAGGGCATCATACGATATCTCGTTGGAGCATAAAGTGCACTTCTTAGCCTATCATCTTCATCGATTCGCTATGAATATTGCGCAAGCATTGGTCAGTGTTTCATTCTTTTTTTTTGTCTACAGCTCCAAATAAAGTAGCTGTTTCGGGAGAGATTTCCATTGGTCCGAGGGTAGGTTCTCGTCTAGTAAGGAATTATATCCCCCATTCGTTCGTACGCTTTGGTTGATATTACTCCATTGTTGGTATAACTTGTCATGGAGGACAAAAACTTCAGGTTGAATGTGATTTGCCCTCATATGACGCTATTCAGGCTAGATGCTCCTCAATATTGGGGAAGGGGGGGGCATTTTTTATGGCTCTAGGCACGGGGCTGTTCTGAAGAGCTATAGGGAAAATTTCAGTGTTCTCTGTCTCAGCGCGTACATATGCTCTCTGAAGCTTTTCGGAGTTTAGGGCCGGAGCTCTACCAGTGTGCCAGAAATCACACGATGAATACTTATCACCCTGGTGGAGGGTCCTTCTGCGGAATCCCCATCCGCAAGGGGAGACTACAGTTTGATTAATCTCTACGGAGCGCTGAGTATTTTCTTACATTTATACTGTGACATGTCAAGGAGTATACGTGCCGACAAGTGTCTGATAGGTTAGAGAAATTCTGCACCGCCCTGAACAGTCTCAAATTCGCGTGCGATCCCTCCTCTTTACCTCTGCAAAACTTCAAATAATAATATACTATGACAGCTCAGCGTAACAGGTATGGCTTCAGTCTAGACGTCAGGCCCAGGTTGACAGGCCGGCTGATGAAGACCCCCGTCACAACAAATATGTCTAAAGTCGAAAAAGGAATCAGTGATAAAGCTAGGACGTCACCCGGAAGTGGCGCGCAGAACCCCCGCCCGAGTTCTGTGGTCAGTATGCGAGGGCTACCGAGGAGTGAACGGCCTCGGCCAAAGAAGCTAGTTCGAATTGGGACTCTGAACGTAGGATCGCTAACTGGGAAGTCCCGAGAGGTTGCTGATCTGATGACGCGCAGGAATATCCAAGTCCTATGCCTTCAGGAGACGCGATGGAAAGGTGCT